AGCTGCTGGGAGGAAGGGGAGCTCGGCGAGAGACGTGCCTGACGTGGACACTAGGGGGCACTGTGGATCACAAAACTGCCTGGATTCAAGACTGCTGCAGTATGACGAAACTGTCCAACCGCAGGGGTGGATCCACCCTGGACATTTGAAGGGTGCTCCAGGAGTCATATGCCAGTGACCTGTGCATCGTGGGGCTCTGATTGTGTTTGTGGGGGGGGGATATTGGGCTTTGATACGACAGAGGGCTCGTAGATACTGTATCTCAGCATCATCTCTGAACAGGTGGAGCAAATCAGAATGTTGACCAATTACGCCAATTAATTACCAGATAATTAATGATGCAGAACATGAATGAAAACCAGATAATCTCGAACTAATATCTGCCTCCAGCCCTGAAAAAGTTCTAGATTTTACCTTGAGTCCATTTTTAGTACTTCACATCATTCAAAAAAAAAAATACAGTAATGAGTTCAATTGAGGTAAGAATGTTTAAAGTTAAGAAAACGCATTTAGAACTGAGACTTGGGGTGGGCGGGGAGAGAGGGAGAGACGGACATATCTACACAGAGAGTTGTGGGAGTGTGGAACAAGCTGCCCAGCCATGTTATTGAAGCCGATACCCTGATGTCTTACAAGAAATCCTTCTGGATGGCAGCTGGATGAAATCCTGGGATCAATTGTCTACTAACGATTAAATGCACTGGATGGGCTGACTGGCTCCTCTTGTCTGCGACAGAGTGATTTTCTCCGATAGACTCAGCCTCGACCCACAGCAAGGTCTCCCTGTTTATCAGGTTCATTTGGGCTTTCCTGGGGTCTAAAACGGAGTAGTGGCGAATGAGTGTAAGGGTAAAAGGAGACAGGAAGAGGAAAAGAAGACTATTGTAATTACAAACATTAATTAGATTTTGCATTTTAAAATGTCCTTGGGTTGTAAAATCACGCTACTGTGGACTCCGAGTGACAGGGTGTGGAGTTACACTGAAGACTTGTATTATAATTTGTATTTGATAAATATGTAAATAAAAGTATGTTCTTTTTTTCTTTAAAAGAGAAAGAAAATTGTCTCTTTGCTTTACTGTACCTATAGCACTGATCTAAAACTCATCGGTGTACCTGCAGCACAGCACCGACCTCAGACACACCTGTACCTGCAGTAGATCACCGATCTCAGACTCACCTGTACCTGCAGTTCAGCACCGACCTCAGACTCACCTGTACCTGCAGTAGAGCACTGACCTCAGACTCAACTGTACCTGCAGCACAGCACCGACCTCAGACACACCTGTACCTGCAGCACAGCACCGACCTCAGAC